TTTAAACAAGGGATAAAATAGATATTTCATACTAATAAATAAAAAAAATTGATAGATGCGTGTGCGCGCGTGCACGCGTGCGATTAAATTCAACAAACTTTTAAGTTTTATGTATTAAACTTGAGTTCGACCCGTCAAATAGTGTGAACTGTTTGCACTCGAACTCGAATTCTAACAATGTGAATTTGAATTCGAACTTTGACTGATCAAGTTTACTTGAGTAAACTCGACACGTTTGCATCCCAACTCCTCCACTGCCAAACTAAGTATTCATGGTACAAGAGGGATGCAAATTGCTAATGAGAGCTAAGAGAACTGTTAGGAGTTGATATGCTAGGATTAGCCTTTCATCGTTTTTCTTGATATTTAATGATTTATGACCTCTTCCAATGCATCACACCAAAAAAAAAGAAAAAGAAAAAAAAGGAAGAGCAGGGTAAAAAAAAAAAGGCAGATCCTTTATGTTCAAAAGGATACCCAAATAAAGCCATAGAGGGGGACATTACGGGTTAGCGAATTCGATCGTGACATTAACCTAATTCCCATTGAGCGTACACTTGGGATCCTCGGTGACATGTTTTCTATGTCAATCCAATGTCACCTATAATATTGTGTCAAGTGTCCTGTTATTATTTACATTTATGTTAAACCAAACCAAGCTGAAGTATTAGAAAATTAAAGTATAACTAATAACGGGACACTTGACGCAATACTATAGGTGGCATTGGATTGGCATAGAAAAACATGTCACCGAGGATCCCAAGTGATTGAGCGTATGGCCCATGAGTTACTTTCCCGGATAATAAACCTTTATTGTCCCAGCGTCCCACGCCATGCATTCTTGTTTTTATCATACTTGGCCTAGGTACTAGGTATTGAATTCCTGTATTTCAATGGTTGTAGTAAACGTTCGGTTAGGAAATCAGGCCAGTTGATGGACTTTGGACTCGGACCTTTCCTCCGCTGTCGGCAGCTAAATGTCAAGGTGCCGCATTTTTCACCATATGAAAAATATGATTATCATGCTACCCTTCATGGCAAACAATAATAATCTTTCTCATTTTACACACTCAATTTTGTTGAGACTACAAAACGGAAAAAAAAAGGGGACAAAAACTTGGTAAATCCATGTAGATTAGGTACTTAATGAGTTTTGCAACAAGTAATAATTACTCCTTCCGTCCCACTTTGATAGTCCTGTTTTCCTTTTTTGTCTGTCCCAAATTGCAGTCCACTTTCCAATTGAAGAATGTAGTTGTATTTTCATTTTCCTAAAATACCCTTATTCAATACAAGTTGTTGTTGCTATAAACCTATCCCATTTAATGAGAGTTGATTCTTTTTTTACCATCAATTCAAGTTCCCATAAAGTTGTACTCTATTTAATGTGAGAGTATTTTAGAAAAATAGCAATCTAAATTTACTTTTCCAACAAAGTTAACTACTTTTTCTTAAACTGTGTGAAAAAAGAAACAGGACTATCAAAGTGGGACGGAGGGAGTATTAGATTATGGACAAACTTAAGTTAGCATTTTAAAAAAGAATTCGTCAAAAAAAAAAGAGAAGAAGTTCTTGTGTATACCGCATGTACTATGGCTTGTACGCGCCTCCCATTATAAAGTGCAATTCTTACTTCTAAAATGGCCGGCCTGTACTCATCAACATTCAACAGACACAATGGGGGAAGAAAGGGAAGGGAAAGAGATTCTTTGCATGGTGGTGGGAAGCCGTAAGAGGACCGATAGGGACAAGAAGCCCGTCGCTGGCCATGGCTATCACCGAATATACTGCTCCAGACTGGGAATGCAAACATCGTCTAAATTATGCATGCGGTTAATGTTTACATCAACCATTTTCATCCTTTTCTTTTTTTGTTCCCCCCCCTTGCTTTCAAGAATCAAGATGCAAGTTCTTTTCCCCTTTTCCTTCGACCTGCAATCATCACTACTTAACCCACCAATGGTCTTCTGTTTTTTTGTAGTTTTGAAATTTTTGTTGAGCTTTCGAGGGCCATAAGATTCCTCCCGTGCAAGCCTTTTTTTCCCAGCTCCCCTCCCCACAAAATCGCGACGTTTTTTCAACTTTCCTGCATTGGGCAACCGCTGGCGTTTTCATGGTTCTTTTCTGCAGCTTTCTGTGATTGGAAAGCAACCGGTTATGTTTAAAACTGAATGCCACCACGCACTACTTGCGGATCTTTTGATTTGTAGCTGTGGCCCTGAAAAAGGGCATCATTAAATGGATCTGAATCGTCTGGCGGCTGGTGCTGTGTTTTAGATCAGCCAATGCTTGGATTTCGGAATAATCTCTGCAGAGTCTTGCCAGCCTAAAAGGAAAGAGCACCTTATTCTTCAGCACGACTTTGCCCATCTCCTGTGGCTTTTGTGAGCATAAAATCGCTGGAGATACTTTTAAAAGCTGGCGCCGCCGAAGCTGATGAGGATTTGAAAACAAGTGTCAACGGCTAGTGATTTTGTGCCAGTAGCAGCAAGCTCCATTGACGATCATGTTGGAAAATATAGTAAATAACAAAACCATGTTGGAAAATATAGTAAATAACAAAACTAAACTAGACAAATGCAGAGACTTTTGAGCCGTGAAAAACACTCTCCTTAAAGCATTATTTGTCTCTATGTGGGACAAATTACCTCTATGATATAACAAATTCTAAGAACTATCAATGAAAAGAAAAGGTGATTTAATTTTGTCAAAATCCTATTATTTAAAAGAATTGAAACACCTATTTAAAGCACTATCAGAGGATGCAATCCTTATTGAATAGGTGTATAAGTAGTTAATCAATTAACAGATGGGTATCATTAATTACCTCAAATTAATTATCACCCTATCCTAATCAAAAAGCCTCAAGGTGCCCATTGGGCTTGTCAAGATTTTATATATATTTCAATTCATATTCTAAGTGTATGAGATATAAATTGAAATAACATTCCCACCAAACATTCCCTCCAAACTAATATATTTTTGAACAAATTTGTTAAGAAAACAAGACAATGATGCAGATAATGAACACTCTATCATTTTTCAACGTGGGATAATGAACTTCAACTTTCTCGTTACAAACTTATACCAAGAATTGTCAGACATTACATCGGTGAGGAAAAGAAGCCAACTGCTATCAGATACCTAAGATAAAATTTTAACACTAGACAAATTTTCATGCATTTCAGACCGTCGGTTCATTGATTCTGCGGGCATTATCCCATTGACTTTGATTGATATGGCTGAGAGATAAGATGCATTATGTTCAAATCTTTACTAGTCAAGAAGGTGCTCTCAAGGACACCTCCTTCCAACGTCACAACAATTTGCCTCAAGGAAATGATTACATAAATAAAACGTCACAACCCACTGTCTGACCTGCACTGCTCCACTAGTAGATCTTTAATCTGGAAACGAATCATCCTGCTGCTAAACTAATACTGGATATTAATTTAATATGCCCGTGGCTAGATCTCACTCCTTGGAAGTCTGCAAAGTTGCAGTGGCAGCTACTAAACAAGGGATTTTGCACGCATATAGCTTTCGAACTTTATATGCTGAGAAGTTGGAGCTCTATCTTGACTGGTAGTTTTTTGGTTCGCGATTGTAGCTGAAGATTATTGACAATCTCTGACAGCCAGCCCAGATCCTAAATTTATTTAAAGTTGGGTTAGTTTCAACTTTGAATAGGCCAGATCCCACTCAATACAATACATGGGACGTATCCAATTGCGACATTTGCTTTACTATACGTTACAAAACCTTTTTTTTTTACCTTCTTGGGTCCAGCGATGACGCTCCTGCCAATTAACCACTTTCCCACGTCACGAAAAAGATGCTGAACTGACAATCAAACACTAACTTTCCTACACAAAAAAAGAGGCTGTATGTTGCTTTGTTTCCGTTAGATGATCAGATCTAGTAGTACAATTTTTAAAGCAAGATGCCTTTGTAGACAATTATCATGTTTGAGGCATCATTACCGCTTCCCTATTCAGCACGATAGATTATACTGCCCTTGTTTGGCAATTCAGATTTTTTATCAAGTTTATCAAGCAAGATACTTTAAAAGACTTTTCAAAGATTTTAAACTATACACTTTAAAATATTCAAAAAAATATATATATTGTAAAAATTTTTTAAAAAACTTCTACAGTAAGTTATAGTAAAATTTTAGTCACGTTCAAAAAACTCACTTGACAAACAGGGCCATGGTTAGTTGGTCAACATATTCAATGGCATGATTAAGAGGTAACAAAGTAGAGAAGATCGGTGGTGATCATTTAGAAACGATGAATGTGATCTATTAATAGTCTCGTTGTTGTTTTACCCCATCTTTTGGATAAAAGTGGACTTCGCAGATCAATATATTTATTCGGGTAGAATTTTGTGCCGCCTGAAATAGTGAAGCTCTTTCCTAATACTAGTCAGCGCATCATCATCATCGAAACAACAGAGGGAATGCATGGTTGCTGCATGTAATGAAGTTCCAGTTAACTCAAATCAAATTGTTCTACATTGCCCACGTGCAATCCGTCAACACTCTACTATGGTATGTTGCCACTGTCGCACAGAGTTAGGAGTCCAGGGATTCCCAGAAAAGGATGGCATTTAAGCAGTTTATGAAGCGTTTTTGTGAATCAATTAATGTCCATTTCTGTTTTCACCCCCGCAAATTCATCAAATAGTCTAAGCACTCCACTTTCCCGTCTCTCACAAGTCTCCTAAGCTCGTCATCATGTCAGTCCATTTCAATCAAGATGTTCAGATAAGTGGATTATTTTATAAAAATTTATTTACTTGCATTAGCAATATATTTTTTGATAATTGTTTGATTTTACATATATATCATGTTAAAAAATAATTATACTTTTATTTTACATACGTCGTATTAAAAAATACTACAGCATTTTTTTAAATTGCTCCAAATAATCTACTGGCCAAAACACACGTTGCCCAGCTCTCACTCAAGCTCTAATTCTCAGCCGTCCAAAGGGGGGTTTGGGGATCTTGTACCTGTACGAAAGGCTTGAGCTTTTTGCCTTTCCCTTTCCCTCCCCTTCCTTTCCATCAACGTCCGCCTCAGCAGATTCCCCAGTTTTTCCCGCTTTCCATTCTTCCTTTCTTTCCTTTCCCCCTCTCTTCAATTTCTAAATCCCAATCCCAAGCCAAGAATCTCTTTCCTTCTCGGAGATTCTCTCTTTCTTTCTCTCAAAACTAAACTTTATCAATGATGCCTTTGTTCCTCTCTCTTCCCCGTTCTCTCCTCTCTTTCTCCATCTCTTCTGTTCCTGTTCATTCCCCTTTTCCTCCACAGCTCCCCCTATCATCCCTCCCCCCTCTCTCTCTTAGTCCTTTTCATTTTAGGCCTCCCTTTTCAACTCTTTCTCGGAAAACCAAAACAAACTTCTATACATAGATTTCCACAGCCCTTCAGCTCATGTCTTCTTCCAGTGTCAACCACCTCTCCCAGCCTTGTATATATGGTATGAAATTATACTCAATTTTGGTTCATAGTTCTTGATTATTTCTTCATTTTTAGTGTGATCCCACTTGAATGTTGTGGTTGGATTCTCGTCCATATTCGTAAAGATTCCTTTTCTATTTTGGGTTGATTTTTAAGCAGGGCTTTCTTCATATGCAGAGAGGAAGTCAAGGTTTATGAAATGGCTGAGTAAGCTATTTAAGGGGGGGAGTTCGAGCAGGGGTATCACAAGTGGACACCAACCTCAGTTTCTAGGGGACGAAAATATGGTTTGGCGTGCTCCTGTTAGATCCTTGGTAACTCCTATACAAGCTGCTAACTTTGTGATCTTGTTCTAAGATAATTGTTGATCGCCAATCTTTTGCTAGTAGTATACTTGTGTTACTGTAAATGTTACTGCCTTTCTCTTTCTCATAATTAAGTTCTGCGACTTGAGCACATAATCATGGTGCAATGGTGTAATGGTATAGTATAGAACAGACAAGAATACTTGGTAATAGAATCTGTTTAACATTTATCTCAGGATGATCGCTCTCGAGCTAATAAAGAAAAAGAGGAGTTAGACCGAGCAATTGCACTTTCTCTTGCTGAAGATTTAAAAAGGCCACAAGGTAATTTATTTGTTTTATCCTATAGTACACCATTCTAAAGCTATGAAAATAAATGATTTATTTGGTCTCCCCTGTTCATTGACTTCAAATTTCTGCTCCTCCCCCTTTTTTTTGTTGCCTCTGCATTGCATCCAAGATTAAAGAGTTTTTTTATTGCAGGATACCGGTGGCGATCAGACCACGATGAAGATCTTGGGAGCTCACTTCATGGGAACCTAAATTCGCCATACCCTCCCTATGCTCCCAGAGAATATTATCCAAGATCATATACGTAATTCTTCTTATTGCACAGTCGCCCTTCCTTATTCTTTTAACCAATAAGTTTACTCATTTATACTCACGATGCGTCAATGTCACTTCTAATTGATGCTATCTCTCAGAACTTTGAAGTGCGCCAAAAAAATTGAGAGTTTTTTTTTGCTTGATGAGTACGGTAGGCAAAATGTATGCTGCTTCTGTCTAGTGGATTGATAAACTGTTAGGCAATCCTTGTGCCCAAAACAAAAGTAACGAGCTATCTACCATGGATGTTTTTTATTCTTGGTTCATAAATTATTCTCCTTTCTGCTATTCTATTTTCCATTAATCTAAAGCATAGTATAGTTCAGTTTGCAGTATGTGCTTAGAATCCCTTCATGATGATTAATACTTTAGATGAGTTTAACTAATTCTGCATGACATGTCAAATACCATTAGCATGGCATCTTTTTATGGCAAATATGTTCTCAATGTTCGAGTTGTTGATACAGTATGCATGGCCCATAACTTGCAGAATCTGTGGTGGTTGCAACCGTGAAATTGGCACTGGTAATTATTTGGGATGCATGGGGACATTTTTTCATCCAGATTGCTTCCGATGTCATGCTTGTGGATCCCCAATTACTGAATTTGAGGTAGGTTGTTCTCTTTTGGATCTCTGACTACTATCTTTAGTTATTCGATCTGTTTTCGCTTATAGTGGAAGGAGGTTATACTTGGATATTTTCTCCAATCCTCTTTCTTTTCTGCATGCATTAAGAAAATTGTGCTTGTTCTCATTCCATCTCTTATTGATTTACTTTTTTGATTGAAGTTTTCTTTGTCAGGTGGTTATTCATACCATAAATCTTGCTTCAAAGAGCTGGCTCATCCCAAATGTGAAGTCTGCGACCAATTTGTAATGATACAGCTCCTTTGAATGTTAATCTTACATTTTCTCATAATAACTTCAATTGCTATGAGATAATAACCTTGAATTCGTTCTAAGTTGTTACAGTTATTGTGTCTGATTGACTGTTTAGTATGATATTACCTTATTATGTTCTCTCACTTGAAAATAGTGACTCCCTAGAAAACTGGATGATTTTGACCATGCTGATAGGCGAATTGATTTAGCCCCTCTTAAGCAACTAGTGTTTCTTTTTGGACTAAACACAGTATGCTGGGTATACATTCTCTGATGATGCTTCAGACAGCAACTGGTTCCATGGAAAAAAAATGTTTTTTTTCTCTTTCACAATAACTTTTCCTCTGGGATAACTTACCGAGCTGCAAAATGGAACTGTATTGCATTTATCAATTGCACTGGCATTTAAGCACAATGAATTCAATCCTTGGCAATTCCAGCTAATGCCTGATAAGTACAGCAGAAAGCATCAAAGGTTGTTTCAGAGTCCATGTTTTGTAAGTTTTGCAGAGTATGTGCAAGCATCTTCTGAATGTTGGCTTTGTGATTATCTGTACCCTGAACTGTTTTGGTGGCAAAGTAATTGAAATATCTTGCAGTAGTAATGCCTTGATTTTAAGGAAATGGTACTTATTAAGGAAACTACGTAGATTGAGTACCACTGTTTTTTAGGTACCTAGGTGCTCTATGAATGGCATACTTCATGTGAAGCTTATTACTTTGTGAAATAAACCTATATTAACTGCCTTTTGAACTATTTATTATTGTCAGATTCCAACAAATGGAGCTGGTTTGATTGAGTATAGGTGCCACCCCTTCTGGTCTCAGAAATACTGCCCCTCACACGAGTATGACAAGACGCCTCGATGCTGCAGTTGTGAAAGACTGGAGGTAGTACATCTTGGGTTTTATCTGTCATAATTGATGATATTTATTTTAAACTACACTTGTATATTATTGAACAGATTCCTTTCCTGTGCTTTTAATGCTCTTTTCCCTTGGGTTTATCTCCTCATTCTACTTGTTACTTAATTCTATATTTATGTTACTCTATCTCGTTTCTTCTTTAGTCGCGCAGTGCAAGATACATATCACTAGGAGATGGACGTAGTTTATGCTTAGAATGCATGGAGTCTGCAATTATGGATACCGGTGACTGCCAGCCACTTTATCATGCCATTAGAGATTACTATGAAGGAATGAACATGAGAATTGATCAGCAAATCCCCATGCTTCTTGTTGAAAGACAAGCTCTTAATGAAGCTATTGAAGGCGAGAAACAAGTAATAAACATTTCCATCTCCCCTCATATATCCTTCACTGTAGAGCTTTTGCTGATATAAAAATTTTTTTCCAGGGTTTCCACCACATGCCTGAAACTAGGGGTTTATGCCTTTCTGAAGAGCAGACTGTTACCAGTGTATGACTTCTTACATGACTTACAAATTCTTAATTCAGGAAATGTATGAACTTTTCATCACGCAAGTCTTGTGTGCTTTTTGGTTCGTGCTTTTTGATTCCTTCAAAAATATCCAGATTTTGAGAAGACCAAGGTTTGGAGGTCACAGTTTGGTAGGGATGACAAGACAACCTCAGAAATTAACTCGGAAATGTGAAGTAACAGCTATTCTGGTTCTGTATGGCCTTCCAAGGTGATTTCCATCAAATAAATGCATACAATACCTATTAAGGGTCTCAACAGCTTTTTGCACACCATACCTGTATGCCTCACCATTCATATGTTTGTTGATCGTTATGAGATGACTTCCCATCTGACCTTTGATTTCCCAAGACAATGCAGATTATTAACTGGTGCCATTCTGGCTCATGAATTGATGCATGCCTGGTTGCGTCTAAAAGGTAATTGTTCTGATGCTGGAATTTCTATGATCATGTTGATTGCATCAACAATGATTACTGTATGATGCAGAAAAAATGACTACACATATATCATAAAAACAGCATTTTATCTGTCGGCTTCTGTTTCTTTCAAGACTTCGCTAGAGCCCAATGCAAGAAGAGCTTATGTGTTGTGCACTCAAAAAGTTTCCTTTAAAATATGCAGGTTACCGTAATCTGAGTCCTCAGGTGGAAGAAGGTATCTGTCAAGTGCTTTCGCATTTGTGGCTGGAGTCTGAAGTTATGCCCGAATTCAGAAACATGCCATCCACATCAGCAGCTTCATCATCCTCATCGTCAACTTGGTCATCATCTAAAAAAGGTGCAAAATCACGCATAGAAAGCAAGCTGGGGGAGTTTTTTATGCATCAGATAGCAAACGATGCTTCGCCAGCATATGGAGAAGGATTTAGAGCTGCTAATGCTGCTGTAAAGAAATATGGTTTACGCCGTACCTTGGACCACATCCGCGAAAACAGAAGCTTTCCTGAATAAGTTTCATGTATATGGCAAGTCCTAAACCTCGTTCAAGATTCATCTATTTTATGCCCCGTCAAAGATGGTGGAAATAACTCCTCGGGAGGAATGAGTTTGATCATGCCAAATTGGATTAGCTCCCTCTAATTTTTTTGGGGGCCCTTTTGAGGATGCATTTAAGATTTACTGGTTCCTGAATAAGAAGCATGTCTTTCGACCAGAAGGATGGATCCTTGGGCCGACAACTTCAGAAACCACTGACAGAATCCTCAAGCGTGACATCCAGGAGATGGGAAACTCCTCCGCTACATTGTCCTGTTGCGCTAAGCTCTGATGTATTACTCTCTATGATAGCGCTAAAAAATAGGATTTTAAATTCAATCAACGAAATAGAAAGATTCTGTTTGTTAAACCTTTGGTTAGATCTTGGATCCATGATTGTTATTTTCTTGATGGACTTGAACATCATCCGAAAATCCCAAATCCAATCTGAACAGAAAACTTTGGAAGTATTACTTACCATGGACGGAAACCGTACCGGAGCTGTTTGAACACTTTTAGTTTTCCAATTCCAAGCTTCAATCACTTCGACTCCGGATGCCTCGAGAAAACTTAGAAATCTTTACCACCCAAGATGAGTGAATACTTAGGCGTCTAACATAATTTGCAAAGAGCAATTAGATTCACATAAGATGTCACATGCTGAGCATTCACAAATATTAGGGTAATTGCAGTAAACAATTATCTTACAGAATCCAAAAAGAAAAATACCTAAACTAGATGGATCAATGAAGGCAGATGCTCAAAATTTTTCGTCTTACAGATGATTCTATGAAGGTGTGAAGAATATGCTGGCGTAAAATTGAAGAATACCGCTCTATACAAGAAAATTGCGGTTTTCCGGTATTACAAATTACAACATAGCCCTATCTGAGAAATGTTGTCTAACAAACCATCTTCATATCATGCATTGTGCTTGAATATATGAAGTTACTTTCCGGGACACCAACAGAGTCAACTTCCAGGAATGTTTGATAAAACCTGCTTCAACTTTTCATACGTCATGAACACAATACTCACACTTGGCACTACCTTATAATATTCAGGTAAAATTCCTCTGTACAAACCGCGAAAGCCTTCCGTTCGAAATATATGCCTGAATGTACCAAAAAGTCCCGTCTTGTAAACACGGGCTCGACCACCTGCTCCTTCCAACTGCATTCGGCGCCTCACAAGATCCAAAGGGAATGTTGCTACAAAATAAAGTATATGAAATCAAGGGGGAAAAAAAAGACAAAAACCAGTCCAGTGGGTGAAGGAAGTCACACTGTACCTCAATGAAAATGTCACAAAAACCAGAATATTATGCCTGAATTTTCACCAAAAATCAAGCTTCTACATGAAGTTACGCAGTCACTGATTTATAAGAAAAGGAAAATACATATTACAGCTGACAACAATTAGGTAACAATACCTAAATAGTGCATTTTTTTTCCCTGGATGTATGAGCTAAGGGGAAAGTAAATAGAATAAACCAAGTCACCAACCGGATACATTAACATCCCATTTCAAGAAACAAATGTATACAATTAATGTTCACCACCAATGTTAGGTTGCCCAACAATGAGTTGCAAAGCTTGAATAATACAATGGAAAACTAATTCAGTATGATCTTTCAAGGATTTAACTACAAAATGAATTAGGGCCCAAGGCAAAAAACTCTTTAACTAGAGACCAAAGTCAGTTGAGACAACTTTGTAGGTTTTGCATGAGGGTACTTTTACATTATGCGTCTACTTTTCTCTTATCTAAGTTAATGTGGCATTTCTAGTTTTCTCCTCTTTCTCCATCCATTAACCCCCCCCCCCCCCCAACAAAAAGAAAACAAGAGAAGGAAAAAAAATCATTTTTCCTAGATATGCCTTTCTTCTTCTGTGCTAGCACGTGATTTAATCCTCTTCTGCTCTTTTCTTGGTTTTCCTTTTCCTTTTCCTACTGGGGATTTTGGGACCTGGGAGCAAGGGGAAAGTATAAAATGATCAAGTGAAGTCATGTCTGATATGAACCAAAAAATCAGTCACAAAGAGTGAAGCTTCAAGGATTTGAGTAAAATCAAGGAGCAATTGGTATAGGAAGCCTATTGAGAAGCATACCTCAAAGAGGACGCCTCTCACATCTGGCAACCTCAAACACATTTTGGGTCACCTCAAAATAGCCACCCTATATGGAGCCAACTGCATGTTTGGAGAGCCAAGCATCCAATGAATGTAGGACACCGAAAGTTATACTATTAAAACTCTTACGTAAACAATAAATTTACTTTCTGAACTGCAAGAAGTAAAAATTTTTGTTCCACTTTCCTTGCACAAATTCCCATATTCCAAACATTTGAGAGCATCTAGCTCTAAGGACCAGTCTGATTAGTTACTTAGTAAACACTTGGACCTCTATCTGCTTCTCTGCATCAAAAGCAATGAAGACAGCGAGAGCCAGTAACATCTTTCATTAAATACCAAAAAGAAGGGGTTTATTCATGTAACTCAGCAGCGAGTGATCCACTTTTCAACTGTCAAAACCCATCATTATCTACAATTCTCTCTTTGGTTTCTGTGCAATATGTAGAAGCAGTACGCAACATAATTGCAGCAAATTCTGGGGACAAAGCATGAATATATAACTGCAATAATTCTCTACAATCTTTAGTTTGCAGTACTCTGAAGGATGAAACAATCAAAAGAATAGTTAAAACAAAATGTTTACAAGAAACAAAAGCAACACTAGCACAATGTGTCTCGGATGGAAGTTCAGCATCAAGTACAACAAAAAAAGGTTAAACAATAAAAGAGGTTAGATCAATTGCATAGTTCCTCTTAAAAAACGCACTTACTAAAACAATAGCAATTTATTAAAAAAATGTGTCTTTTTCCATGTAGACTGAACTAAATCTAACTCACTATGACCATATCCCGTTAGCAAGTAGTGCATACCTACACACGCCTGGTTCATTCAATAGAATGTTTCCGAATACAACCAGAAGGTTGTAAACCAGCAACTCAGTTTACACTATTCTGAGCACCAGAAGAAGCACCACTATCTTATAAGTTGTGCTGGATCTAGAGCTTTTCCAGGTAAAAGAGTGACAGCTGCTGGTCATGTTTAGGTATTCGAGTAATATTAGTACAAGGCCAACCTTCAAAGACTTTTGCGAGGAGTGAGGTTATACCATTGTCTTTTCTCCTGCCTAAATTACCCAAGAAAGGCAGTTCCAGTTCAAAAGATGCAGAAAACAAGTGTTAGCAGGCACAACGCCACAACAGCTGGACACTGAAAACAAACTGTATTTTCATTCTCCAAATTCTTCTTAGAAAACAAATAAATTTTCGAAAGAAAAACTTAATGCAGTAATATGAATAAGCGCTTAGCGGAACCTCACCGGTGGATGATGCAATGCCTGATAGACTGCCACAACTAAGGCTGACCAAGACAGTTGAGTCATCTGGCCTGATGTTAACAAGGAACTTGCATTAAAATTTCAAGATAACTCCAAAACTTTTTGGATACACGCTATGCTTTCATGGTGGCAGAAGAACAATTTCAACCACACAAACAACAATGCTGACCAGCATTTCATTAGCTTAAAGTAAGTGCTTCATTTAATGTTGATTACCTGTGAAAATGCCATAATGTCCTTGCTGTATCATAAACCGAGAAACTGATTGCCAAATTAGGACTAACACCCTGCAATATCACCAAATCAGTAACCAGACCCCAGAATAAATCTGATACTCTCCAAAAAATGGATCTAGAACCATATAAGATACCAATAAAGTTGCTCCAAGTCCTTTATAGAGGCCAAAGGCACCTTCTTCCCTGCTAATTGTACATAAAGCATGCCAAATACCATGGTAATAGGCAACATTTGTCTGCAATACATTCAATGAGATGGTAATCAGAAAAGAGTAGCAAGACTTTTTTTTTTTGTTGTGGTACTTTCTTATTCAGGCAGATATAGTGGCCTTAAGGGTGCCAAGAAAGAGAAATGGTGCTCTCAGTAGAGCAAGAAAAACTGTACATGCAAAGAGAAGAAAGACTAATTGCCTAATGCACACCTGTAGGTTGAAAAACTCATCCCAAACAGAATAGATACACATTGTGGTTGCAAAACATCATAAGCTAGCAATATAGATGGGGGAGCATTAGAAAGACCATGGGGAGCAGTTGCTCCACTAGTCATCCAAAACAGGGAGATGTATATGCAGAAAAACCCCACATACATTGACATATTTAGCTCCTAGTACAGTCGTTAACAAAAGCATGATAAAAAATAGACATCCTGAACAAACAGGTTCATTAAGCAAAAATATGTGAATGCTCATAAACATGGTTTCTTCATTATGTACCTGAGCAGCAAGGCGTGTCCTTACAAGATCCAGAGGGTATGTAACAGAAGCAGCAGTTATTCCAGCCAACCCACCTGCTACAAGTCGTATACAAAGGTCTTTTCTTACATTTTCTCCTGGACTTTCAACTCCCCAAATTAACTGTAGGAGCTGTGACATGACAAAAGATCATAAAACAAAATGAATGACGTACAGAACAGGTAAAAAGCAATCTATGAAAGCAAGCACTTGTGGAAACATAACAAGATTTCATCATGAAACATGAATACCAACATTCTTATAGCGCTCAAATGTATAAAAGCTGACAGAAGAATAGGGCAGACGATGAGCAATTGTGACCAAATTTCCCTTCCAGAATGCCCGAAATCCCTCTTCTCTCATTATACGCCTGGCCTCATGCCATATACTAGCTTTCTTCAGGCTAGCAGCATCAGATTGCATTCCTTGTAGCTGTGAATACAAAGGTAACATCATCTTCATGATATACAGAGACTGGGTGCAGGTGGATTTTTCTTTAAAAAAAAAAAAAAAAAATTCAACAACAGCAGAAGCAGCAGCAGCAACAACGTTGTTATGAATATAAAAGTGAAATCTTGGTAAACACGAATGTTCAATGTACTGGATCATGGACGAAACGATGGCTAATTGATGGGAGCTTCTAAAACAGTAACAAGGCTTCTCGCTGTTTATCACTAACAAAAGCCAATACCTAATCAATATAGGACGAAGAGACACCGGCTATGACCATAAGAATATGCATTTTAAGAAAACCAGACGAAAGGAAAGTGTAAAAGAAGGCACAAGCGAGGCCCCTGCAAAAGGCAGAAAAGGTTATTTCCAAACTGAATGTCAATTATGAGCTTTCTGAACAATTTATTTCTAAAAGAACAAGGTAGTGTTTCTCTCAACTGACAGGAATATGAGTTTTCTATGCACATCTTTCTGAATAAGACGTCAAATTCTCGCTCCAGCAGCACATACACACCATTTCCTGATTTCATTGGCACCACTTGTACATATTGAGGCCCATGCCCACAAGTTGCAACTTGCAATACCCGATTCTGTGCTCATCCTAAATCTAATGAACCGCCTCAATTCAGGATAGAATACAAACCAAAACTCAATAGCAACCTTGAACAGGCATCAAAATCTGATTTTTTTTTATATCCCTTCACCACTTTACTAACGAGTTCCTCCCAAGTATTCTCGGAGACGTAAAATGAGCATTTAAAAAAAAATAATGAAAGAAGCATCGAACCTGAAAGAGAATAGTGAGGCGAGCAAGAGGAGCGGTACAGGTCTTGCCCACAGCACCGGCAATTCCGCCGGCGAGAAGCTGCGAAACTGTTCCGATGTGCGATTGATGATTATGATGAAAGGCTCTCTCCTTATGCTGCTCCATCAACTTATGGGCAGCACCGGAGGCGCCTCCGTCGACCACCACCGCTCCATGGCCAGTATTCATAACCCTCTGCCCGCCGCGCCCTCCTCCTCCTTCCACCACCACCCGAGCTCTAGCTTCAGTTTGCATTCCAGCCTTCTATCTGTCGCAATTGATGTACGAAATGATAATACGTATTTATACGCAAGTCTACACTCTGTACAGCGGACGGTTTTGAGTTTAGTGAGACGAATACCTGCAACAAGCAGCAGCAGCTGTATATGTTTGGTTTGGGACGCAGGAAAAAGCATCGAACAAAGGACGACGACGTCGTAGCTGGAATGGTTTTAGGAGAATGGCGGTTTGGGACCGTCCATTGGATTTGGGGCGGTGGTTTTTGTGGCCGAGTAAATCACGAATCACGCGACTGGAATTGTTTAACTCTGAAAAAATAGGGATTAATCTTATCAGTAGATACACCATTATCATGTTATATATATATATATATATATATATATATATATATATATATATATATATATATATATATATATAAAATTTTGAATTTAAAATTAAAATTTTGTTTACGCGATATTTATTTAATTATAATAATATATACACTGACAGTATATATAAGATTTACTTAAAAAATAATTGATCTTTTCGTCAGCAACGACCCCAACCAAGTTGTAGGCGCGAATGCAATTAGGTCTTTGGAGGGTCACTTTCTTATTATATTAAAGTTAAATGTTCAAGTGAAAATAGGCCTTTTGTGAGATAAGAGAGACTGAAAAATGACGGTTTGCAGATAGGAACCAAAATAACTCGATCTAAAATGGCGAACAAGACACTACTAATAAAAGGGCTTCATCAGTTTTAAAATATAATTGGGCTCATCCATGTAAAGTAGAGAAGATAGCAAGGTATGAATTCTTGGTTATTATCAGACACAGGGAGGAAATACGACAGTTGAGTTGATAGTTCTTTAATTCCCCAAGGAAGCATCTCATCTATAATCTTGTATTTGCCGCGACAAAAGGGAGGACCTTTGTCCTGACACCAAATTTTATTTTTGTCGCCTTGCTTTTTCAAAAACAACCAAAAAAAAAAAAAAAATGTAAGACAAAAAGAGTAAAACAACAGGTCAAGATTAACGTAATACTGTAGCAATCTCCACAGCAGTTAAACTGTACAATACATCATACATGGCTAAGCTGCCAATTCCAGTAATAAGCAGTAGTAGCAGTGCTATAACATATCGCCATATGGGCAACTACTATTTGCTCACGTTACCTGTGAACAATCCAAAAAGTTTTAAAATGGAAATAAATAGCTGAGCAAACAAAAGATGAAGAATGGTTCGAAACGATCAAGAAGAAGCACCCTTTTCTTGGTCCTCGTTTTGCTTAAAAACTAATGATATCCCTATCTTCTTTCCTAAATTGGACTGGAAGAATGTATTGTTTATCAAATACTCCATCATGGTCGTCTACATTGTCAATTGCTTTTCCGTTTCAAAAACCGATTTCGATGCAGAGGTTTACAAGCTGAAACCTCAATTGGAACAGCAGGCCTTCCTGCTCGTATTACCAGAGTATTCACCAACCTTAATGGTGGTGCTTCGACCGGGAAGGTTTGCAGTAGCCTCTTGCGCGGCCAGTGCTTTCCTGCTGATTATCTGGTATATGTCCAGCAGAATTGTTTGGAATGCTTTCTCCACATTAAGTGCTTCTAATGCTGAAGTCTCTAAAAATGACAGTCCCTCTTTTTCGGCCAAAAGTCTTGCATCTTGTTCCGGAACGGCTCTGAGGTAGTTCAGATCAGACTTGTTCCCGGCCAACATAATGACAATGTTGGAGTCAGCATGGTCCCTTAACTCACGAAGCCAACGATTCACATTCTCAAACGTTTGCCTCTTGGTGATATCATAGACCAACAGCGCCCCAACAGCTCCTCTATAATATGCGCTGGTGATGGCTCTGTACCTCTCTTGCCCAGCCGTGTCCCATATTTGGGCCTTCACCGTCTTGCCCTCCACCTGCACCAAAATTTTCAACCTAAATGTGCTCAATTACCATACATACGATAGATATGTAGTGGAAGTATAATGCCGGGCGCCTGTAATCCGTCCAATTCTTTCACGAAACTAGTCTGTGTCCGTCAAATAGCAAGAACGACGATTGCACACCAGGGAAAGTACATCTGATCTTGCATGACTTGTAAAAACTAGCTCAAATGCACAAATCTCAACAAGACACGCTTGATCATCAAAACTTCGCGGAACATTAATTGTATAGTGGTGTGGGAGGAACCTTAAGATTAACTAACAGTGCTGGGCAAGTATGTGTAGTAGTAGGTGAAAACCTTCAAGTTGAAATGGTTTTCCCACATCTTATACAGAATATCCAGTATGCGCCATGACTGGAAATATACAGATAGAGGGACGTGACATCAATCGAATATTATTTTGATGTGTCGATGCCCTCAGAAATAAAAAAGGGTATTTAACCCTGCAGAAGTTCCATGATTGGTTTTATGATTTGTGCAATATCTAATTCTGAAAAAAAAAAAAAAAAAAAAAGTGCCAATAGGACCAACGTTTACCCGTCACGATCCAATTACAATGACAAAAGTGCCTTATAATGCAGATTTGAAGCAGCAGAATATGAGCGCAATTAATTATGAACAAATTCAAACTGGGCACGAAAAAAGGAGCACATCAGAAAACAACAGCAACGTGGTTTTAAGGGATGACATAGATGGGCAAATTGTAATGTACTGATCGAGGATCAGAGCCAACCTGAAGAGTCCTCGTGGCAAATTCAACACCAATCGTGGATTTAGATTCCAAACAGAACTCATTTCGCGTAAACCTGGAAAGTATATTTGATTTTCCAACACCAGAATCTCCGATCAGCACAATTTTAAATAAGTAATCATACTCATGATCCACCTTGTAAGCCATTTATAATTTTCTTTGTACATCCCACCAACCTACATTCACCCAAATCAAGAATTTAGTTAACAAGAATACATATAGTTGATTACAGGGAAAGGCCACAGTAGAATTCAAGAACCAGGATCAATGCAACGCATAGAGATCGAACCCCACTCCCCCAAAAAGAAAAGAAAAGAAAAGAAAAGAAAAATCATGGACAATGCAAAAGTAGGCCTGACAGAGAACAGAATAATTTGCCAAGACACTAACCATGCATGAAAGGATGGCAAGCACAGGTGCAAAGGGAGATTATTTTGTTACGAGGAAATTAGAGGCAATTTTTAAATTTTGGTTAGGGAGGAAGAGAAAGAAAATTTTGAGAAACAGAATAACCGCACAAACAGGAGTTTAAGCGGCTAAGCATCCTATAAACTCTGCGGCCTCAGACGTTACTCATTCTCTTCTCCATCTTTCAAAAACATCGGATGAAAAGCATGCTTTGTCCTTTTTTTTTTTTTTTTTTTTTCTCTTGTAGATGATAGAGAGGCCCAAAAAAAATCGGTGAGGACTAAATTACCGTCGATCTACACACCCTGAAGAGACCCAAAAAGAAATTGGCCTACGGACCGGTTTGAAACCACTTAAAGTGACAGGGTCCAAAAGAAACCGGTGAGAATTGAACCATCATCGACCTACGCATCCTAAAGAGGAGGCTCAAAAGAAAATCGGTGAGAAGTGAATCACCACTGACCTACACACATTAGTTTGGAAGCACTAAAAGTGGCAAGCCATATATAATGATAAATAGTAAGAGACAAGATTTAAACCTTTGATCACCTATCTCCCCAAATCTTACAAACCTTGGTGGTGGCCATTGAGGCTTTAGTTATTTCTTGCGAAATTTTGTGGGGTCTGCGAGATTAGTCTGGTGCACTGCGTAACACCAGATTTATTTTAAAAAAGAAAAAAAAGGGGTCATGTCCCTTTTTCCTCTTATTTGCCCACAAAACAAATTTTGCGAAAATTTGAAAGTCATTGCAGCCCATACCAGATGGGCCTCAAATATAGGCTAGATGAAAGCCTAATGTTTTGGACAAAATCATGTCCAACCAACCCAATTTGGACACAGTTGGATGAATCAAAATTTCTTTGTTTGGAGTGGACTTTCGAAGTGTCTCAATGACCTTTTTCGGCCGTACCGTCGAATGTTATGAAGATTTTGCCAATCACAACCATAAATACCTTTATGATAATTTTTTTTAAAACAGTTCTATTAGATCTAAATCAGGTCACATAACATAATACGAATGCAAAATATACATATGGCATATATTCAAAATTACTAGTATTAATGTTAAAAAATCACTACATTGACAGTATATGAAATGTTAAACCCCTTGTACACTGTTGTGATTGAAACATTTGCGACAGTTTATTGAAGAAATCCAAACGATGGTCCTTAAAAGGGAAAAAGGAAAATAGAATAGTCCTTATTATTATTATTATTGGTTATAGTCCACTTGTAGATGGTAAAAAGAAGCTTTCCCTTTTTTTATCGGATCTATTCTACACTAAGAGGAAGGGATGGACCTAAAGAGGCCCAGAGATAATCCGGAAGGAATTGAATCACCACCGGATCAAACGGGTACATAGCACGCTCGTCTGAATTTTTTAGAAACAAACCACTTAAATATAGCATTTACCCACTTAGGTGGTGGCCATCAGCACCAACCCAAAGGCTGGTGGTTGTAAAGAGAAGCTTTCCCGTGCTACAATGTATTCTTTTCTTAGTTTTCTGTATATCTCGTTGAAACTTGCACGGCACAGTGACTGGCAATGAATATTAGTACAGGCTTTGCCGTCCAAATCGAGAGATTACTTCCCAATTAAGGAAGATAAGTTAGGAGTGAAGCAATTACTAATACGCCATTATTTCTTAAAAACACGTTTATTCTCTAATGGCAACGAATCGAATCTACTACTCAAAACTTAATCCATGTACATAAATTTACGTGTTCGTCACTTGTTGGTTTCCGGAAATCAAGAATATGTTTATATGTTCGCAAGACAAAAAACATAAACATGGATAAAATAAATCAATAGGGTTGCTTTGTGAAATTAATTAACCATTTAGTCCCATCTGGAAAATGCACAGTATTCTTTTCAAGCCTTCTCGAATTCTCGCATCTAATAATTTCAACACCAAGTTCTACCCACGCACTCTAATAAGAAAAGGATTTCTTGCGTTCACTTTACAGTCACTATTCTTATAAGAAAGGATTGTCCTACAAGCCAAAAGTTTCATATGCCAAAAATTTCTTCAATCCCTCCTCCTCCCACACATGCATTTTTTGTTCTTACGCATTCTAACAGAATTTCCATTCAAATATGGAACTCTAGCTAGTGGCTTGTTTGACATAATTCCAGAACTGACATCCCTTTTTTTTTCTAATCTGTTGTGCACATCATTAACTTCTCAAAAGCAAACTCTAAGACTCAACAAAAGGTATTAGTATGTGTAAGAAGTAGTAGTACAAGTGATATAGACTCCATTCTTTATATATTAATGAAAATAGGCCGTGGACGGAAGCTCCAATCAGAAGAAATATATAATCCACTGCGTTGTCAGAGTATTCCTCGACCAAGAAACAAATCAAAGAAAGAATAAAACGAATCTGGGAACGTTCAAATTCATGGAAGGGAAATGAGGTCACGAGAAGCAGATTGTGGAGTTCATATTGGGCAACTGGAGACGATAACGTTACGGAGATGCAGAACTCTAATATACTTTAGATAATCTGTTTTTTTTTTTTTTTTTTCTACTTGCTAGTTAATTTGCAAAACTCTAATTTATAAGACAAGGTATTTGGAGACACCGTTTGATATTGACTCAATTTTGCAACGTCAATCCCAGTATAATCTCTTCTGGTCTGATATCATCAGTCAATTAATCCCGTTAGAGTTAGTTCGCAAGGAATTTTGTAAGGTCAATCCCAGTATAATCCCAATATAATCTCATCAATCCCATTAGATTAGTTAGCAAGGATATATAGTTAGGCAAGGAAGCGGGAGGTGTAGGATTATGGGGAACTCAAGATCAGATACATTACGTGGAACTAACATTTTTGTGAATCCAAACAGATCTCAAAAAAAGAAGCGTAAATTATGTTGTATTACATTGTTGCAGACAGAAAAAAACACAAAATACAGTAAGAAACTGCGTAGCACAACGTTTTTTAAAGTTTAAAGAATAAACAAAGGGATAACACCGTGGTAAAGATCATACCTAAGAACGTACGTTAACCTTGTAAATATTGTATTGATGTGGGAGGGAGACTAACCGGCGTTGTTGGACGCTGCCATGGGCTTGCTTAACTTGTTGGCGGGTATGACGACATTTCGTTCAACTGAGAATCGAATGCGAGAATAAATATCTACTTCTCACTATAAAAGGTCGTCCGACTGCTGCTTAATTTCTCCAAGTTCATCACTTTAAAGTACTTGAGGGCTGCCTGATACCTATCATGGCCAATTCAATTTCTCTTACATGCCTTTTGCTGGTAGTTACTTTATTCTTTAGATGCTACGCCGAGGCAGTTGATGACAATCGAAAGGCAAATTAATTCTCTTTTCTTTTTACTATTACATTATTTTCAGTCTTCTTTTTTTTTTTTCCCAACAAAATATACGCCTTGGAAACTCATTAAGATTATGCATCTTAACCAGCAGGTTTATATCGTGTACATGGGGGACCGTCCAAAGGGAGATTTCTCAGTTTCATCCCGCCATTCAAGCATGTTACAAGAAGCAGTTGGCAGGTCTTGTGATTTTCGATATACAACTAGCATTCTTCTTTCCATGGACTGGCAATGTTGAACATTTTTCCCTACTTCTCTTGACAAATGATCAATGCAGCAAAAGGGCGTCAGATTCTCTGCTCTACAGTTACAAGAGAAGCTTCAATGGTTTCGTAGCAAAGCTGACCGAGGAAGAGAAGGAAAGATTAGCCAGTAAGTGAACTATACATATGACATATCAACGGGACACAGTCACTCAGACCCAAGTGATATATTTGGACCTTATAAGAGATTTAAATAGAGTCTAGTTTTGGATGATCCATACTCAAATCTAAATTCATATCAAATCCTATTTAAGTCTATATAAATATAATAAAATTATATATATATGCATGTATGTATATGTATATATATTAGTAAATTTATATATATGTATATATATGTATGCATGTGTGTGTGTGTATATATACATATTTATTTATTAGTAAATTTATAAAACAATCTAAAATTCTGTATCCATTAGATCAAACACAGTAGGACTTCAAAATTATTTTCTTTTTTCAAGCTAATTATAGTTGTCATTATAATTGATAAACATTTTCTCAGGAAAAAGAGAAAAAGTAAAGGCAAACAAATAAAATATTGGGTATGGATACAATTGAATCTTTGAAAATAAATACAAGTCGTCTTTTTTTGAGTTGAAAATATTGCATTCAATTTCTTGAATATTAATTTTATTTTTGAAAATAAAAATTAGATGATATTTATATTATTTTTAAGTCTATATACTTTTAATATATATTTTACTTTAGTGTGCTTAAAAAAATATAATGGATATCCATTACATAAATCCATGAGAGACGACCTCTAAACTTACTTTTTCAAACCCATAAGAGTCTAAATCTTGATTTAGATATAATTAAATTTGATAGATTTGGATCTGAATTAAAGAGATCCAATCCAAACCCTACCCATTGACATATCTATTTATATAACTGTCCAATGGTCGATCTAATTTGTAATGCTATATTTGAATGTTACAATATCTTGGCTATTGCAACTTAAGGTTCCTTTATTGTCCAAAAATCCAGGCATGGACGGTGTAGTTTCTGTTTTCCCAAATGGCAAAAGAGAACTCCACACAACAAGGTCGTGGGATTTCGTGGGGTTTCCCCAGAATGCTCCCAGAAAAACGGCTGAGAGCGATATCATCGTAGCAATGCTGGATAC